TAAACTTAAAAAAAAAAAAAAAAAAAAAAAAAAAAAAAAAAAAAAAAAACGGTTATGCTTTGGGCCATTTTGTGGCTTAACCGGTTAATACTTTATTATTTTTCAATCAAATTGAAGCCATAAAAGTTTCAGACATTTTTTTTTTCAAATAACCATTTTGACATTATATAAACAGTCAAAATGGTTAACTTGAAACAAATGATTTGATGGAAAAAAAAATTANNNATGGAAAAAAAAATTAAAGTAATAAAGTTTTTTTTTTTTTTTTTTTTGTAATTTGCACAAATAAAAAAACACTTACCTGCCAATTTTTGCAGACTGAAATAATCCGGTCAAAGTCTGTATTTATGGCACGAAGAAAGTGATCAGAAGGACTTTGCATGATGGGGCAAGGAAATCCAGCATTTGAGAAATGCTGCATTCGTATAGAATAAAGAACATTTACAAAATTACAAAAGTACCCTTTTCTTTATAAAATTAAAACATGATATTTTTTAAATGAAACTTTTACCTGCAAGCAAGCCAATGTCTCTCCAAAAAACAAAGTGTTTCCATTTGAAAGAAGACAAATTCGGTCAAACAGACCAAAAACTTCAGTGCTACTTTGGTAAATTGTGAAAATAAGTGTCAACCCATTGCTTGCAAGCTTCTTTAATGTCACCATCATAAGTAGTGCAGAGACACTGTATATTTAAGATTCAATATTCTCTTAGGCATTTCATCGAACAGCTTGAATGCAATATATAAAAATAAAAGTTGTAAAGTGACCTGTCGAGATGATACAGAGGCTCATCTATGAACAAAAGATGTGGTCTCGTTATGAGCTCCCTAGCAATGGCGATGCGTCTTTTTTCACCTTTAGAAAGACCCTTTGTACAACAATGGCTGCCTATAAGCTTGTTTGCATGATCATTCAATGACATTGCGAGAATTGCATCCTCAACAATACTTTTTTTCTCACACAAGAAACCAGGAAGTTGAAGTAGTGCTGAGTAGTAGAGATATTCACGCACTGTTAGTGAGCCAATAAGTGTGTTTTTCCTCCCGACAAATCCCTATAAATGGAAAAAGGAATATGTTAAGAGCTTTCGTTTATGGAGAAATTAACTCTTTTTATCAAGTAGTAATCTTGGAGTCTTACATATGATCCATAGTGCAAGGATGACTTTGCGCCATTTACAAATACTTCACCATATACTTTTGCGGAATCATCCAACCTTCCTAAATCATACAATCATAAATAACATTATGTTAAAGTTTAATTAAAATAAATTGGAAACAAAAAAAAAATGACGAAACAGCCCATTACCTGAAAGAGCTTTCAAAAGGGTAGATTTCCCCGATTTTGCAGGTCCCATGATCACTGTAATTGTTCCAGGTAAAGCAAATCCATTTGAGCTTTTTATGACCCTATCGGAATACTTTCTTTTACTCTTTATGGTGACTGTTAAATCCTTCCATACAATTGAAGCGCCTGAAATCTTTCTAGCCACCGGTGGTGGTGGGGATGGTGGTGGTGGTGATGATGATGACGTGGACCTGCTATTAAGTTTGGAAGGAGATGGTGAAGCTGTTGTGGTGGCGGCGTTAATGGTGTCGCGACCCTCCTCCACCTTGAGCTCAACATCTGTGTCGTCCCAATCTGGTGAATCCTCGAATGAAATTGGGTTTCTTAAAGAACCGGGTTTTCTTAAGTAGTAGAAGTGACTGGAGGGTAATTTAGTAATTGGACTACTGGCTGAAGATGATGAAGATCTGTAGTTATCTGATTGAGACTGTATTTCTTCCATTATATTGTCTGCCATTGAAAATTAACAAACCCCTTTTAGCTTCTAATGATTTAATCGATAAACACTCGATATGTTGTTGTGTTGTATCAATTTGATTGGTTTTAACTTGTATCCTTCAATAATTACAAAGAAAATGAAGATACGCAATTAAAATTGAACATACGGTTGCTGAAAACATTCTTCTGTGCATGGTAAGTTTATAAAGAATCAACTTCAAACCTTAAATTTAATACGAATGTGTGGGGGTTAAAAGTAAAGAACATCTGACTAGATTCATATTCAGAGTAAATGAAGAAAAAAAATCAATCGACTATTCTTCTTTTAACCATTAGACAAGAAAATGACTACAGAGAAACCTAAAGACAGAATTTTTATCAGAAACATAACTGAAAAAATTGAAGAAAACATCGAAAATGAGATATATTCGTTCGATTAAGTTTTTTACAATGACCCAAAACCCCAAATGGGGTGTTTATCAGCAAAATCAATTAAAAGCATATCGATAATGCCTCTTAGATACATGAATACTTGAAATGTGAAGAACATAGAGCTGAAGTTCGGAAGGCAAAATAGGGCATACGAGGAAGAGAAGAAGAGAGAGACTGACCTGGACTTGATAGAGAGGGACAGTAGAGCAGTAGAGTGTGAAAACGAAGGTGAATAACGAAGACAAAAAATACTGTCGAAACAGAAGGGGGCAATTATTTCATATAGGAATTTTCATAGGCTTAGGTGATCCGTGAAACCCACCCCTTACTGTTGGCACAATATTCCCTAACCAATAACATCGGATACCAACCACTAAGACATCACTCCACCTTATTTTTTTTAAATTAAATTTAATACATTAAAAAACAAATAATTTTTTTAAATACTAATTATAAAAATAAGTTATTTAATAATAATAATAAGAATAATATTTTACATAAATCAAATTACTTAAATAATTAGGAAATATAAATCCAAGGTTTGTTTTGTCATTTTAGAAACTATTTATGTTAAAGGATTTCTGGTCAGGGGTATTTTCTATCAATTGACTATATCTCAGGGGTAGAAGTTGTCAAGACTTACAAACTATGTCTTCTTCCCCAATAAAACTACCCAGATGAGCAATCCAACTTCATCGGTCGTTTCGATTCGTGATGCTCACCACTGAAGACCACGAGCACGGAGAACCACGATGGTTCGGGCTAGTGTGCACGGACCACGGTCGTGGCCAGCTAGACCATGAGACCCACCGTGGTCTGTATACCAGTAGGCCTTATGTAATCCATAATTTCCCAAAACGCCCTTTGTACAAATATTATCAAAATAATAGTTGGTTAAAAAAAATTTTAAAAAAATCTAGATTTTGTATGGTACGAGAGAATAAACTGATTTGGGTTTGTATAAAGATATCAGTGATTACAAACGGGCTAATAATAATAATAATAATAATAATAATAATAATAATAATAAAAAAAAAAAAAAAAACTATACTTAAGGTTCGGTTTAACCATCAATTTTTAATAAATGTGAAAAAGCCACTAATTTTTTATAAAAAGTTTTAATAAGACCATTGTTACCTATAATGTGCTGAGCTAATTAGGGAAAAAAACACTATATTTTTTCAAAAGTTCAGTTTAACCATCATTTTATGGGTGATTTTTTTAGCAAAAATGAAAATTGGTGGCTCGTTCGACTAATCAGTGATCCCGCCTACCTAATATAGGTGTCCCTGAAATGAAATAGGGGATTAGTTGATCGGAAAGCTGTCACACCCCAAAACCGGAACGGCGGAAACGTTCGGGGGTGGAGGACGTCATGTACAATATCACAGCAATGCAAAGTAGTAAACAAGCAACAACATCATCCATTGCATTAATAATATAATTTCATACAACTGTGTTCTGTCAAGTTATATAGACACCAAAAATGTACAAATCAAAATAAAAGATGAGTCTTGAACGAGCTCCATCTTCTCAAAACCTGGCACCGGTACCTGTCTACTGGTGACCTGATAATACAAGTTATTTTGAAAGAGTTTATCAGCTTTAAAGCTGGTGAGATCATAAGTATATTAGTGTCTGTATTTGTATGAAAGCATTTGTAAGATGTTTGTAAGATGTTTGTAAGATGTATGAAAGCATGACTAAGTGTCATATTTATACCCCCCCCCCTTTAGGGTTTACGGCCGTAAACACCTTT